CAACTTCTCATTGCAGTAATTGATGCAGAATTGCTCGTAAGAGTTCACATCCAGAATTTCTGCAACAATAAAACAGGGCGCTTAAACTGCTGCCCACGTCGTAAATACGAAAAAAAAAAGTTAGTTTTGGCGATCAAAGGGCCTAGGTACATGTGCCCGGTATATGGGAACATTCCAGTAACATCACCAACGTGTGATATCCATCTTGACCGGAAAATCCGAGCTGCTTTGGTTTCTTTTGGTATAAAAGAGATCGATAGCACAGCAGTAGGCTTTCAATGATTATTTGAGCCCAAAATGGACAGCAGCAGTAGAATCCGAAAAATATTTACCAAAGCCGGCCGTGTCCAGTACCCCGATCGAAGATGCACTTTGGTTAAACGGCATGCATTTTGTGATTTTGCTAACAATCGCATCAAACAGTCGACTGTAAATCGCTTTTGCCAAGGCATCGCGGGCTGAGCTCGCTTCGCCGGCCCTCAATGGTACCCTATAACACCAATTTGCAAATTACACTTTTTTGCAGTTTTACTTAACGGCTCTGATAACGCGCTGCACTGGCTTAAAAAGCGAAGCAGTACTTTTTCCGTATTATTCTAACTGAGGCTGAAAATATTTCTTTGCGAGTGGAGATAAACAAATCTTGATAATTTTCCGAGTATCGGTGATTCCGAGGAAATTTTGTGCTGAGGGCAAAAGTTGTCTTTCCTTCAACTTTTTTTGGCTCCATTAATTCCTGTTTTATGCCAGCGAGATTGCTACTTAGTTTATTAAAAAGTTACTTGGTGGATCGCAAAATTCCCCTTCAGAACCATTTTGTGTCTTATAAATTAACTGTTTTCTTATTTTCCCTTCATGACGTATATCTGTTATCCAACTATTAATTTAAACTAAAATAAAGCCACAAACCTTCCAAAACCGTATTTTTTTATTAGTGACGGAAGTTGTTGGAAGTAAATTGGGGTGGTAGCACTTGCTAGCAAAGCTGTCGACGGCTTTTTCGTTCTAGGTTTACTCAGAAGCAAGTTCGAGATTGCTTTCATTTTCTCGTATACCACAGTACAAATTATCATCGAAAGGAACGAACGATTTGTGAAAAGACTGGCTATTCTTGACTGTCCCTCGATCTTTAGAACAAGGACAGAGCTATGGTACGCCATGTTCATTTATTATGTGTTTTTGCCTATATGCAAATTGCAAAAACGCATATTGAGACGACCCTGTCTGTGTGTGTATGTATGTGTGTATGTATGTGTGTGTATGTGTGTGTGTGTGTCTGTGTGTGTGTTCGTCTGTCCGGGTATTTCAACTCGGCAACCAAGCAATCCAGCGCCGAGATTTTGCTAATGGGTACTCCGGCCAAGTACCAGTCCAGAACCGCGGCACCATCCCTCACGCACGTCTGGGCCCCGTGTACGAGAAGGGGGAAGTTTTGGCGGGAAAATCGATAACTCGGGAACGCGAAAAGATAGGAAGCTGAAATTTTGAGGTTA